GTTGACTGATGCTAGCTCTTTGAAATGAAACAGTCTGTATCAGTGGGTGACCTGTGGAGGCATTCTTTAGTGTAAAACTGTTACTGCTTTTGCCTAGCAAAGGGGCTCATTTGTAGTAAATGTAATGGTAGTATTTTACGAAGAATGACAAGTACATTCTGATATCCTCATTGAGGAAATAACAGCATAGTCCTAGCTATTTTTTAGATCTTAACTTTACATGGTGAGTAAGGTGTATCATTTAAATTGTGACCAGGTGGGAGGGCAGTGGTTTTCTTCACTCCTGTACTGGGCCTGGCTGAGATGGAGGTAGTTTTCCCTGTAGCAGCCCTCACAGTGCTGTGCTGTCGTTATTACGATGATTGTCTTCTGGAGCAACTGCTACACATACTGAAGCCCTGCTTCCCAGGAAGTGGCCGGACATCACCTCCTGATGGGAAGTAGAGAATAAATCTCTTGTTTTCCTTTGCTTCTGCATACAGCTATTGCTTTATTAAACTGCCTTTATCTTGACCCATGAGGTTTTTTTCCATCTTATTTTCTCCCCTCCATGATAGAGTGGCTTGGTGGGCACCTGGCAGCCAGCCAGGGTCAACCCACCACAACTCTTATCAAACAATTCTTATCAAGGAGGCAAATACAGGAGAGAAATTAGAGAGACACACTGGCTCTGCATCTGTATATTTGGTTTGACAGCTTATGTAGTTTGCTGTTGCTTTCTGGTGATTTTTTTAGGTAAGAAAGGAAACTAGTACGGATATGTACTGGAAGTATAAAACAATGCTGACGACTTTCTGCTACCAGGAAAAATACTTAATCTAGAGAACCTGTATCCTCAAGTGGATTTTAATTGGTACTACACCTGGTTTTACCAGATGGTGTTGTCAAATTAATCTGTGTTTCTGAAGGCTTTGCTGCTTTGTGTCACATAAATAAGACACACAGGCAACCATGGAATGCCCTAAAAATTCAAGTTTTACTTGACTTTTAAATATCCTGGAGACAAGTATTGACACAGCCATCTATCGAACTCATTTTAAAATAAAGCACACAGTTGCTTCATGATTACTTAATGTACATAGAACATATGCATCACATTGATATATTTATGTATATTGTTTTCAACCATCTTTCTAGGGAGCTTTGAATTAAACAGGCTTTCCCAAAAGAAAATGTGCTATCTATTCAGTTCAATATTCACCTGTATAAACATGATTATTTGGCAACTTAAATGGTAGTGACCCCCCCCCCCCCCAACATCTTCAATATAATGAGCTTAATTAGAATACAAGTTGCAAGGTATGGGATATTGGTAAGAAGTGCAGTGTAAAAAACAGCAGGTCAGGGCTAACTCCTAATGAAAGAAAACAGCAAGCAAGGGGACCAATATGGGATATACAAAAATGTTTTTGTGGTTAGCAAGCCCTCTTTATTGTATAAAATACATGTTTTGTGAAGAGGTGCATCTATGTTGTAGGTGTTGTTAATTAATAAGTGAGAGAGTTCCAGGACTTAGATATTCTTAGCCCTTACAGAAGTCTGAGAAGATGTAAATGCAGAGGCACAAAGTTAGAATTGTTGGTCTGAGATCAGTTTAGCAGACTAGAGGCAGAATAAGGATGAGAATGTCTCAAATGTCAGTCCTTTGTCCATATGAGGTCAGTTCTGTATGTCATCCCACCCCAGGGTAAACTGCCTGACACTGTTAAACATCTCCTGTCTTCTGCCTGACTCATCAGGAGGTACAGGCATTTTGGACTGACATCCAAACTCCAGGTCTGAAAACCTAACTGCCTTTAGGCAGTGAAAGCCCCAAGAAAGCTGAGGAAGAGTACCAACAGTGGAAAGCACAAGGTGTACCTCAGAGCTGTAAAAGGCCAGCCACAGGTGACGTAGGGGTGGTTTAGGGCTACAAAGCATAGCTGTGACACACTAAGTGCTTTCAGTGATTGATCACTTGTAGGTACCTCTCACAGAAAACCAAGAAGATCACAAGAAAAGGTGCCTTTCCTCAAATGACTGAGGAAAGAAGCTTGAGGGAAAGGAGGCTCACATACCTGGAAGAAGTTTCTTTTTCTGTACTACTAGCTGACAGTGATGTCCAAGTTTTGCCTTGCTCTGGCATGACAGTTAACATTTAATACAGGTGTTAAGCTTAGTCTCTCTTTTGTGAATCCAAAACTCTATTGTAGTGCCCCAGACTGAGCATTAGACTTGCTAAAACCTGCTTCCCACATAGTCTCGTTGGAGAGAAGAGCACTAACTCAAATCTAGGACTCTCTATGTAAATTTCTCATTTAAATGCAAAAAAGTTGGCTTGATTATGAAACAAACAACTCTCCTGTGACTTGAGAATTGAAACCTGTCACTACTAGACTAGATAGAAGCCTATTTTCTGATGTGCGATAAGTAAAATACACATACTGGTATTTTATATAATACCACATATTGGCTGATGGTATCCAGCAATAATACACAAAAGCCCACAGGCAGATGACAACATACACGGAAACATGAGGTTGGGTATAAACTTTACAAGTAATTCTCTTCTTGATCAATATTTGAGGATCGACAAGATACGGACACTACGTACAGATAATTCTCAAATAATAACAACACAAATCCTCCTAAAGTAGTAGATATGTTCTACTTGCCTGTGCCTCAGTAAGGAATGCAGGATAACAGTAAGGATTTAGAAAGTAACAAACTACAAGCAAGTGTATAATGCTCCAGGTTGGAACATCATCTTGAAGAAATAAGTGGCTTTCCTTAAGATACTGTAAGCAGTTCTTGTGTGGTTTGCTGTATTTCAGTAGTCTTCCAACAGATTGTGATGCTCTAGATTAATCTGTATTCTCACAATCTTTGCCATAGGGTTGGGTTTTTTATTGTTTTGGTTTTAGTGGGTTATTGTTGGTTTTGTGTTGTTTTTTTATTTGGTTTGATTTTTTAAGTGGTGCTTCTGAGAATACTACAGAAGGTCATAAACAGATCCTAAAGAACACTTTAAATTGGAGCAATTACCATGCAACCATTTAACATACTTAGAAAATAGTTTGAGCAAATACTTTAAGCCAAGCTCAACAATGTCCTAGGATGAAATCTATAGTAAATTCAGAAAATGCTGAAGAACCTCCGTGAACAAGAATTTTTACCACAGAGGTGTTCTAAGCTCTTTCCTTCCCTTAGATTTGTTCACAGAGATTGAAGAAGTAGAACTGTCCAACTTAAGTGATCAAAGACAAATATTGACGTGAATCTGCCTTCCCTGGCATGATGCAGCATCCATCTCGCAACCTGCAGACCAGTCCATACTGTGATGGGAACATACAAACTGTATGGCTACCACCCTGGCTAGTAGCATCCACTTGACCACCTCAGCTCATGAAACAACAAAGAATCAAAAAATGAAGTGGAAAGTAAAACACATCATACAAGGTTTCACTTCTCCGTTTTGTTAAAATGTATATTAGTAGTTCCATGCCTCTTGTAAAGCATAACTTAGATGTCTTATGCTCACTCCAGTTCACAAACAATAGTGTTTTCCTCACAGGGCTGCAGTCCCCTGGTATGGTGTTGCTATGGGTAGAACACACAGGATCACTGCAAATCACTGAAGGCAGTGGGGGTCAGGTTTAAGGAGGACAGATGTAAAAAGGCACATGAGCTACTACAGCTATTTCCAAGGCAGTTTGACAAATTCAATATTTAATTTGGGGATTACACTTAGCAAAAGTTACTTTCACAACACAAAGATTTTGCTAAGCTTCTTAGTACTAAGTTACCAACACCAGAAGGCTCATGCGTGTGCCGACAGTGGACAAATGGGAGGCAGAGGAATGACTTTCAGCTATTTATACAAAGTGATAGGACAGGAGAAGAACTAGGCATCACTTCAGATACGTACTAGAAGATAACCCACTCAATGTGCAGCATCAATAAAACTTACTACTCCTACTGTGACAATAGAAAAAAAATTGCAATTATCATACCTGAAATACTGCCTTTGTCATTTTATCATCATAGAAATGGCTCAGAGAAAAGTATCAGAAGGTACTAGCATTATTTCATATGAAAAGAGATTAAGGCAGACTTCACTAATCTAGTGGAAAAAAAAAAAAAGGCTATTTCCTAGCTCTCTTAAATCCTACTCTACAAGTTTCATTTAACCAGTACTTAAGTGCCTTGCTAAGCAGTCTTAATACGGTGGGTCAGTACATATTCTCTTTTTTTTTTTGTTTTCCCAGTGTGGTTTACTATAAGGTGATAGATGTATTTCTACGGCATGGAATGTTCAATTAAATAATCCCTCTAGATAAAAGGGCATTCAAAATTGAGAACACTTAAAACTGCCAAGGGAAGTTAAGTCTGCATCACCTCTGGAACTCTATGCTACAGGGTGTTACCAAGTCTATCATTTTTGAGCTAAAACGGGTTGAGTCAGTATTTGTATTAACAACACAAACATCTGTTCTTGTGCTAGGCTAAAATAAACCTTATAAGAGCTATCGGTCCTTATGGCTCAGGACACAAGTTGATCCCCATATAAAATTGTGAAGATAATTCTCCCCATATCACACTGTATTGCACAATTGGCCAAAAATATGACTAATTTGCTTCTCTTGAAGCATCTGGTCCTGATCATGTCAGTTAACAGTCATTTTTTTGGAAAAAGGCTATTCAGTTACAGAGCAGACCATAAAGCCTGTTTTGCTGCAGCAATTTTTTTGTGTTCATTTTTTGGAAATGTAACTGCTGATCATTCCGTTTTACTAAGACTTCTTTTTGGTTGTCTAGTCAGGCAGCTTCTCGATCTGTCACACCACTAGGATGGTGTAGGTGATAAAAGCATTGCCTTGGCCTTCCCAGCAAGCAGGCTGTGCTTCTGAGTGTCCTGAAGAAATTGCTACCACGTCGACTTCAGTTCCTTCCCTTTTACCTACACTCAAGTTCTCAGTTTCCAAAGAATAAAATCCATTCACCATCTTCAGTTACAGCAGTCAAGTCTCCACCTTGAAGCGTGACGCCTGTACAGTTTTTATGATCTTAGTGGTGGGTTTTCCATCAATGTTAGTGGATAGCTGTGATGTTTCTTCTATTAGGCTGTCTTTAGATCCATTCTGTCTCTGAAGGGAACAAATTAAAACATTGTTGAAAAGGTATAGCAGAATGTAAATACTGTATTTTGATAACTGCTGCTACGACAGCGTTAGGCAAAGGATATAGCAATTTATATGTGTATATATATACACAAACATACACCAGAAATATTAAAGTCTGTACATTTATTTGATCAAACAGAACTTTCGCCCCCTTCTTGCCTCCTCTCTCCCCTGCCAGCTGCTGCCTCTCTGTGCTATTTGGATTTATATTCCCTATTCAGGAAATGCCACAACTAATTATTTGATATTTAGCAAAACACTGCAAGCAAGCTCTCACAAGGAATTAATGGCCACTATTGGGAGGGGGCAGAAGGAACTTCGGAAAGGTGTTTGTGTACACTGAACACTGTAACATTAAGTCCTTCCAGGGCATGAATCTAAGCCATGTTGTATTGGATACAAATGGAAATAAGACAATGTGAGTTTTGAACAGGACTCAATCACTCAAGTTAGCTATTTCTACAAAGTATGTAAATGTGCTTAGCTTCAAGTATACCAACTTCCCCTTCACTGCTGGAGCAAGTCCTTACAAAAACATCAAGGATGGCTCATCTTTTTCAGTTTCCATCACATGCAGGAAAACAAATATCCTTGAACTTAATTCCTATCAAAGAACAGGTAGTGTGTCAGCTAGCCTTAAAGTGAAAAATATCTCTTTATTGTTTTAGAATTGTTCAAGCTTAAGTTGTTCTAGCTGCTTACAAGATAAAATATGACATATTTTGCTGGTTGCATTCTGTGCGGTTTCCACACTACATACAGGATCAGCATGCAGTTTTGGTATATCCACATGCCAGATTAACAGACATGATGACTGGTGTGGGAAGTTCAGGATCTAGAATTCTCCCTTCCATGTTTGGGTTTTCCTTTTGTGTGCTTGTACAACAGACCTGCAAGTGCTTTTTGAATATAATTTGCTTCTCACATTTTGACCTTAATAAACCTATCAAAGCTACAGTACCATAATGTATGATGAAAGCCAGTGAATACATTTAAAAAGACAAGTCCTATCCTTTTTAGCTTTCAATAATGTAAGAAAAAAAAAATCAGCATTTGGGAAAAAAAAAAAAGCAATGCTTCAAGCCCAAGCAACAAAACTCTTAAGACAACCTCTAAGAAGAGGCAAATATATGATAGTAGGTTGTGATTATCACTGCATCCCAAGCACACTTGAATATTTTAAGAAATTGTGAAAGTTGATTCTCCTTCTGTGGAAAACAGGGTATCATCTTAAGGAAGCATCAAACTCAAACTAGGAAATCGAAGTCCTCCAGTAGCAGAAGCAGGTGTTCACAGGGACATATGCTACAGAACTACACATATTTGGAAATACAAACAAAGTGTAAATATAAGCAAAATGTAAAATTTCAAGTCACATGGCTTCTGAAACAAATCTCAGCCAGCTTTAATTTTCACTGAAAAACAAAGGTCTAATTTAATTAAAGCACTAGACCCCACCTTTCCCCCTCCAAAAAAGGAAAATTGTAAAGGATGCACAATTACTAACCTGTTGAGTCAACTGGATGCTGGGACCTTTCACATCTGAAGATCTTGTAACAGGCAGTGGAGGCACCAGATCAGTTTTTGCACTGAAATTACAATATTATAAAGTCGATATTGCTATAATGAAGTAAACTACAGCTGTGCAGAGCAAGAATAATGAAACTGACCCAGACAGCTACATCTGAAAGGCAAAATCTAAAAGGCTTATCACCTGACTTTAGACATCCAAAAGCTATCATGTTTATCCTCAGTAGTCAGTGGGCACCTGGACATAGGTCATCCCATCCCTGCTCAAGGGGCCTGTCTCCTCCTGATCTACAGAGGCAGCCCAACTTCATGCGAGATGAATCTGACCTGAAATCATGGTTGTGCCACACCTCCTTCACAGTGCCATCCAGCTAAAACTGGCCTCCCAAGTGGGTGATATCATCAGGGGACTGCTTTTGATAATTAAGGCCTTAATAAAACTGAGAACAGGGCTGTCACTTTTCCATTCATAAGCACAGCCTTTACAAATCAGTCTTCTAGGAAAGACTGATCCACCCATTGCTGAAAAAGGTTGTACTAGAGTTCCTGCAAAACCAGTTACAGAGTTAATACAGATGACATCTTAACTCTATTAAGAATGAAGGTATCTGGAAAGGAAGTCATGAGTTGTCATCCCTTAGACAACTTCATGACCTACCACTGAAGAGCAATACTGGTTTATTTTGGCTTTTTGTTTTTCCCCCCTTCTGAGTGGATCAAGCAAACCTCCGTGGCCCAGAATAGACCAGAAATGTTTATGTACTTGCTTGAGTCATTTAGCTCTGAACACCTACTATTTAGAGGGCTGCCTGAATCCTAGGCCAGCAACCAACCACATTTATGCCACAACGAATCTAACCATGATCTCTGCACAACTTTTGGGCCACACTAAACCAGCCCATTGCTAATAACCACATTCACGTACTTCACTTCAGACAGGACAGATCTTTCACCATCAGAGCACTGGGACCGCCTATACTGACGGTAGCTTCGAGGGGAATGGGAATGCCTAATGCGGATTGGGTCGCCTTGAGTCCTAAGAGAGACACAGAATTCACAACAGTAGGTTAGTAAGCCAGATCTTTGGCAAAAACACCAATTCAACTGCAGCCTGAGAAATCCTCCCATTTCTTACTAAAGTATAACAGATGGCTTCTTGCATTGGCTGAATTTAAAAGGCTGATGCTTTTCTTATGAGTCTGTACTTGGAATTCAATGCTTTAAAAGTGCAAAGGTCACAAACTGGCATGCCCATATTTGAGAATTAAACTATTTACTAAACTGCATTAATAAATACAGCTTTAACATCAGCCTCTTCTGTTTAGTGGTGTTGTGGAAGTATATTACAATGCAAACCGAGATCCCATTTCTGCCACATGCAGCTGCTTGCACTGACACATGGCATCCCACCTGGGCAATTATCACAGTGAAATAGATGTTGGATCTTAAGGAAATAGTTATACCCTGGCAGCTGCCTGTGACAAGCAAGGAAAGGGGTTGAACAGGTCAAACAGTGCCTTAGATGATCAGAATTAAAATTTAGAAGGAAGCAGATGTTTAGGAAATAAATGGATTTGCTTGTTTGCATTCATTTCTCTCTGATTCTGTAGTATACACCATAAAACAGATTGATGAATGGCATAGGGAGACATGCAGGACATACAGACATTTAGCAGGTTTACGAGTGTGTGGGAGAGAGATACGGTTTTTTTCATGTTTTGGAAAGAGAAAATACTGGGCTTTAAAATTATTAAGTAGCCTCACCCAACCCATCCTAGATGGGCATTTGGAGTAGATAAAAGCCTAGAGATTATGTGTAAACCCACTCCTATTTCAGTATGACAGAGTTCACAGTAAAACAAGAAAAGTGGGCTTTTATATTCACAAAGAAAAATTCTGACATAAACTCACTCTATTTTAGTGTATGGAATTTCTTTCAATTGCTCCTCAGACAGGCCAGATGGATCCACAAGCTCCTTCCTAGAAAGGATTAGGCAAAGTAAAAAATGTAACAGTAGCTACCAACTGCAAAACCATTCTTATTTTTATTTTATTAGGCTGAAAAGATTTACTGAAACAAGCTGTTGTCAGCCCTGAAGCTATCTTGACATCAAAATAGGAAACCTATTAAGAAATGTGTCTAACTTCACCTTGATTGCTTCAACTGCATGCTGCATCCTGTTCCACCTTCCTCTCACCTCCCTGCTAATCTGGTCTTGTTGCTTCACAATATATATGAACGTTGTGTATACTGAACATGCTTCGGAATAGCTAATTATCTTCCTAACTGGTAGTTGTATAGCATATGGGGCCTTATCCTAAAAATGTCAGTATTACGAACAACGACATTTTGGAAGCCACAGAGGAATAAATCTCTAAGATGCTGTATTCTTCTTTAGTAATTCATCTACATACAATGGTCATCGGTATTCAATGCATTCAGTGATCTGCAGTATCTTCTACACATAGCAGGTCATTAACACCTGCATAGTTTACTGTGGCACATAACTAAATCGGCATGTAATGCTTTATAGCCACAGTGCAGGGCTATAACTACAGTGAGTAACTACATTACAGGCAAACCAAGCAGTCACTTGGACCCTACAAGGACCATACTCACTGAATATGTTTCCACAGTTCTTCTTTAGCTTGTACGTCTGGGCTTCTCCTATAATTACCAACAAAGACAACAAAGGCAGAACTGTGAAAACCATCATCTGACATGTTGCTGTTCAAATAAATTTTAACAGTACAGAACCTGCAAAGAAATCACGGTAAATATAATTCACCAGTGACTTCAATGTTAAGGTTTGTTATATCAGGAAATGCATTAACTTAATTGCTTTATTTCACCTGAAAAGTCATTTCTTGAATGACAGGTTCTCAATCACAATTCATGTTCCACTAGCCTTCAGCAAGAGTATGCATACAATATAAATGACAGCAGAACTTCTCAAGACAATTTAGTGCCCAGCTACTGCCACCCCTTATCCAGCTGAGGACAATGTGTTTTGGAACAACACTTTTGTAAAAGGCCCTCAGAAATGTTGCATGTCTCCTGTGGCACTTTGTGGGCAGGAAGGGGGACAGTCCACGCCAGGCCAACACACCAGTAACCCCTGGCCATTCCCTGTGAGCAGCAGTGAAGAGGACCCGTTGCTCAGCTGCGATCACAGTACAGCCTCTCGCTTTCTGGTCACTTCCAGGAAGGCTTTCTGCTCACTTCATTTACCTTTACTTCTGCTCATTTACCATTTACCTTCATTTACCAGGACAAAAAAACCCAAACAACACAACAATGAACAAACCAAACCAGCAACCACTCATACTCATGCACACAAATATTTCATTCACAGGGAAAGTACTTGGCCAAAACTGTAATTTCCCCATTGCAGATATAGAGAGGTAGTAAAGCAAGCCTCAATGGCATGCCTCACATTTTCCACCAAATTACAGAAGATACTGTTTCCAAACTAGATCTCCTTTATTTTTACTTTTCTTATCCTATTTTATTAGTGCAGGATTAGTGCAAAACCACTGCTGTTGCTGAAGCTGCACCTATAATTCACCAAAACCCACGCAGAGTAACAGATTAAATAAGCATTTTACACAGTGGCAGGGACTACGTTTGCATGGAGAGATCAGATAATTCTTTGTAACTCCTTTCACTGGGATTATATAAACTCACATCCAACAGCTAGACTGTTCCACACTATCTGAGATGTGAGGGGATGCATCTTTTAGACAGATTCAGCATCTATAAATGCTCCCACTGAAGTCACAGTTTCTCAAAGATCGTCTTACATCATCAGATCATACAGTTTGCTTTTTTTTCCTTAAACAAAAGCGCCTATAATGTTCAAATACGCTTTTGGAGTGATATAATCCAAATTTAAATGAAGAAGAGGACAGCAGACTTCTGTGTTTTAGCATCTGTTAAATCATCTCTCCCTTGCCCAGCAACAGAGCTGTATCAGAAATAATTCCAAACTGTTCTCTAGCACTAACAGTTTCACTGTTTTCTTAATTCACCATTACTGTATGTGGCTCATTTCCAGACTTCAGCCTAGGTATAATGTTCAGAGACAGCTATATTGCAGTAAATGTTTGGGGTTTTTTTTTAGATTTTACAGGTGCAGAACTACTGGCAGATATTAGTTTACTGCTTTAGAAATACCACAGAAAGACAAAAGGGTGATAAACAACCTTACATTTGCTATTCCTTAGTGGGACTAATGTGAACTAATGTATAACCTTCTCAGGCTTCAAGGTGGCGATGGCTTTCCAGGCAGCGTGACAGAGCCTCCCTAGATGATTCCCATCTTTGAGGGACTGCTCTGCGGTCCATTCCAAGTGCTCAGGTCCACATGACAGCAACAGCTACAGCCACAAGTAGATTGCAGTCCCATTCTTCTCAGCATTCAGAGCTTTTTGTGTTTATTATAATGCATTTAATTTTCTCTGACTTACACACTTCTATCTCTCCTTCTCCCTTCTTGTATTTACTTCTCCTTCTCTCCTTGCATCTGTCCATGCTGTTTTTAATTCCCTGATGCAGTAGCTTGGTATGCAGTGGCATTTAACAGCGCTTTTCACCCATCAGTTTTTAATTGATTTCTCCTTCCATGCACCATCCTGCTCACTAAATAGCAGCTGCAAACCTTGCATTCACCCTGGGGCTGGGAAGATAGGCATCCTCTTCTGAGGCTGCATAATCAGGCAGTGGGGAATGTGAAAGCTCCCTGAAAAACAGCAGCTTCTCCAGGGAGGCTTTGTAATGCTTACAAGCCTTAGTTTGCCTGAGGAACCCAGGATCACCACAAAGCAGGGTATTGTGCACACCACTGACCCATCTCATCAGCTCATGGCTTTTACTTATTCATGGAAATACAACAGTTCAGGATGTGGCCCTAAGTCTTGCATATCACCAGACATAATGTGAAGCCAAAACTACATTAAGAAATATTAATTTGTGGGGCAGTGTGGAAAGAGAGTGGTTCAATAAGAAGTCATCTTTGTTTCTCCATTTTCTAGAAACTGTGCCTCCTGCTTTCTGCAGCCAACACCAGGCATTTAATTCTGCGATCTCTCCCATTCTCCCTCCTTCCACCCCTGCAAGTACACTAAAAGGAAGCCGCTGCTGTGAACTATCATCAGGTTAACAGTATGGCATCCCATGAAAAAAAAAAAAAGGGGGGGGGGGCTAAACACAATGAATCCTCAGAGCAAACTGCTTTTATGAATTCCTATCTTGACACTATTTATTTTCCATCTGTTTAAGAAGTGTTACCGTACTGGAGTAACCTCACACAATTTATTCAAATTAACTCTCCACAAAAGAATATCCAGAAATATGACAAAGTATCTTAATAAAAGAATTTTCCTTCCAGAGGCCCAGTTCCTGCTTCCTTTGAAGGCAAAATGAAGAAAAGCTTACAAAAAGAAAGGTCTTGTTAAGGTGAAATGTAGGTATTGCATATACTGCATAGGAAATTCATGTTTGTATAGTTCTTAACAGCCCATAACAAAGCAATTCTTCTAATAAATCTTTAAAGCCAGATCACAATCCCTCTTTCACTTTGTTTTCATCTTTTTACTATGAAATGTTTTAGAACGCACAGTTTTGACATATAATATATACTCAAATTGTCCTATTGCAGTATCTGAATCGACAGCTTCTGGACAATTTGTATGCTAATCAGATCCTCTAATGCACAAGAAACCTCATGAGAATTCTCAGTAAGTGATGAGTCCCCAGGGTTTTTTTTATTTTTATTTCATTTTCACAAGCTCGAACAACTCTACAGATTAATAAGGTCTACATTATTTTTTGTGTCTGCATCTGCACCCTTATTAATATTTCAGTTTGAGTCAGAAATGGTAAATTTAAATAGCCATGGAATTTTAATGGCCATTCTTCGTAATTAAAAAAAGCCCTTTGGCTACACAGATGTTTTACATGAACTCTTGAAAATAAACCCTGTAGAACTAGAATTGGGAGCTCTCTCTATTTGCTGATTCCTTTAGGAGACAGAAAGGTCAAATTCTTGACAAATATTTTTATTCCTGAGACCAAGAAGACACCACCTCACCACCACCAATGATAAATATTACTCATTATCAAACAAATTAAATGCACTCTGCCAGGCACAGTAACAACTATTGCTGCCATTACTTTGTGCTTCCAAAGTGAACCTCTCGTTAAGCTGACTGCAATAAGGAACTTAATGTGAGACTTGTCCATACTGCTAAAATGAAGCGTTTGTATCAATTGTTAAATGAGCAAATTGAAATGACCGTATGACCAGATTTATAAACAAAACCAAGCACACCCTACACCCCAGGAAATCATGTGTTTCCCTTCCCTCTGACCTGCATCCAATCATATAATCAAACAGCTGGGCCAAACTAAATTAAATCAATACTCTTATAACCTACTGCAGGTTAATGGTTAAATGCCTTTTACTAAACTCTCTTTAAAGCACTTTGAAAGGAATTCCCATTTTACTTTTTTTAGTTCCAACTTGCATATATTAAGGATCTGTGCTATACTTGGGAGGTTTGGGCTTATTTCATTGTTTTGGTTTTGTGGTTTTTTAAACTGAAAAACTGAAGAGTGAGACAAAAAGGAGGAATATATTCATCACTAACACAATAGGGAAAAAAAAATGAGAACCCATCCAAAATCTTCAGAATTTCTTCATTTCTTTGCTTCCTCTAGGACTTTTCCTTGTTAAGTAAGATGCTACACATTTGCATTTTTTGCTAATAGTAGTTTAAATAAAATATAACTCAGAATGTCACTATGCTGGAAAATAAGTCATTTCACAAGTTAAGTTAGCCACAAGAGGGAGCCCGTGCTGTCCAAGGAATGAAATTTACTTGGCCTATGGGAAAAAGAAAAGTAGGCTATAAATTTAATCTAACCATTATTCACTGAATACATTTCCTAGTTTACAGGACTTTCTGTATATAGTAAAAAAATGTAAATCAAACTTAATCAGCTATGTTTTGTGGATTCCATACAAGTGAGCTTTAATATTCCTGATTTTTAGTAATATATCATTGTATAATTACACCTAATAACATTTGACTTTTGTGCAGCTGAAAGTGAACAAGTCTGTACAAAGCCAGTTAAAGAAGAAATTCCAACATTTGGAATTTTAATAGCAAATTCTATTTCTCATAAAAGAATGAAAACTATACAGCACAAAACTGGAGACAAACGAGTTCTAGCAATGCAGGCAACTGAAAACAGAGCTCAAGAGGACTTTAATACTGGAAACTTCAATTGTTTCAATCAGTATGAATGAAATAATCATTTAAGGCATTATGCAGTTTCTCTTGGTACGTCTTAACATGAAAGGTAAATTTAAGAAAAGACATTAATGGGAATTACCTATGTAAGTGTGTTACAGAGGTCACACATTACACCATCAGCACCAGGGCTGGCAACTCATCCATGTTAGCCGGGCAATGAGGGTGGAGATACAGTTTCAAAGACAGCTCTCTCTTGCCTTCCCTCCCAGTGCCTCATAGCTGCTCTCCGGGCACTCTTCAACACCCCGTGCCCTGACCTGCCCTGCCTGCCCTGCCTTCCGGGCACGCTGATGCTGGTGCTGCTTTGGCTGGTTGCTTGGATGGCAGATTAGGCTGGACACAAACATGATACAAAACAGTGTGTTCTATACCCCAAAAACATGCCATTAGAAGAAAAATACAAATTAAAAGCAACCAGCGTTTTCATTTTAGTTTTTTCATTTTCATTTAAGTTTGAGAAAATTAATTTTAGAAGCTGACAAGTTCACCATGTCAAAACTGGCTGTCAACAGGAACGGGACCACCTGGCAGCACAGCTCCATCATGGAAATACTGACATCAGGATGCAATAAATCACTGGCTGCTGCTTGCCAATGCTAATTTGACATGGAGGGATCAGTAGCTGGACTCATCTGGAACAACACTGCAGACATTATATGATTAAACAAATGTGCAGGCATTTTACAAAAATGCCCGCACCTATCACACAAAATCTGAATGTTTTCACAGACTTGCTGCCCAGAAGAGGGGAACTGCTGTCATCATTACAGAACTAATGTTCAATGTGCCACAAAACCATCCAGGACTCCATCCAAGGTGTTGGAGAGAGTTCCTGACTAGCTCTTGCTGCAGCCTTAATTTTCGCATCAAAGAGGGCAAGGGTTACATACGATCGAGATCTGTGCCTGGATCGCCGGTAGTTTGGATCCGCCTGGTTTTTCTCCTTTTGTCGCCGAAGCACAGCTTCCCACTGAGGAGCCGAGTCAACCATGTCATTCTCTTGCCGTAATCTGCAAAAGTAGTACCAGGAATTTAGTCTGAGGTCTCTGATGCAGGATGCTCAGAGAAGCAATGTGGTATTTTTTTCCACACAAAAATCTGCTTCTGCAATCACAGAAACATAGAATCACAGAAAGTTTAGGTTGGAAGAGACCTTAAAGTAGGACCATCTAGTTCCAACCCCCCCGCCATGGGCAGGGACACGCTCCACTAGACCAGGTCGCCCAAAGCCCCATCCAACCTGGTCTTAAACACTTCCAGGGACAGGCCCTCCACAACCTCTCTGGGCAACCTGTTCCAGTGCCTCACCACCCTCACAGTAAAGAATTTCTTCCTAACATCTAATGTAAATCTCTCCTCCTTCAGTTTAAAGCCCTTACCCCTCGTCCTATCACTCCATGCCCTTGTAAACAGTCTCTCTCCAGCTTTCTTGTAGGCCCCTTCAGGTACTGGAATGCTGCATGCAATACTTGAACTTTTAATCTTACTAAATATTAATTAATATTCCCAAACTACATTAAAATGTAAGAACCTGTATCAAAGAAAACTCACTGATTTGTCATTTAGAAACACCGTAAGCCAAAAATTAAATTACCTGGGCCTTTAAACACAGGCTCACAAGTTGAATTCTTCTTCCCAGCCCAAACCAAACATTTGGAATTTTTTTCCTATTTACATATTCTAACCTACCTCATCTACAGCGAGTGTAAGCCCCACATCATGATACAGGGCTCCACAACTTTTCCAAATACTTTGTTGCAGCATGCACCTTCCTAGGATCCAGGGAATATCCTCCAGGGATGCCCTTCATGAGTTCCTGCTTAGACAAAGCCATCCCTTCACCCTGACCTGCAACAAAGCCCAGGATGCAGGCCAGATCTCCCTGGCTGCCCCAGACACATAGAATCCCACTGTTGCACCCCTTCTGCACTGTTGCCTGTGGCTTCAGCCCCTGTCTCTGCTTGTGTGCTTCTAAATGACATGATATGCCTTTTTTTTTTTTAAATCCATGAATCCATTATTGGAATGTAGTACAGATTAAACCAAATGTCAAAATCCTACAAATTCAGCGCATGTGTTAGCAGGCTGAAGAAACTCTGATGACAGGCCAACCGACATGCCAGCATTTGGCCCTTCAAAGTTCTACAGATGCTTCACAGTTTTGGGGTTGCAAATATGAGTGGTGTGATGAAATGCTAAGATGGAACAAATGCACGTGCTTTGTCACAGCAGTGAATTTAAAATTCAGTAGGGATTTAGAAACAACCCTGGGAAATACCACTCCAAGACTGGGTTCTCTGATAGGACAGTATGACTGGCATACTGACGAAACCAGAGGAGCTTAACAAAAAACAGGAAGACTGACAAGTAAAACAAACAAACAAACAAACCAACAGAGATAAAGGGATTACGTTGGAGATGTGACTGCCTAGGAAATGCAAAACACGCTGTTGTTATTGCTCTTTACTATATATGTACCTTTCTCCTTCAGTTTTGAATTGTATCAGGCTAAACTAGCTATGCAGGCTGCTGCTTTTCCTTTCATCAGATCTTCTCTCACATGCACAATTAATTTTGAGCTGGATTCCCAGCTACTGTAAACGGCCACAACTCGACCAAACGGCACTGAGCATCTGGAGAAGACAGCAACATCAGGTTTTGATTTCTAAGCAAGTAATTTTAAACCTGTAATCTCGTGACAGCGATTAACATAAACTTCTATCTAAGGATTTAGTAGAAGAACTCACACAGCAATAAGTAATGAAGTGTGATTTTCATCCCAAATAATCCAATTTGTGGAGACAGCAATCATCCCACATGGTATAAACACTACCAACTGCCTCGCACACATGGCAGTCGCACAAAAAGATGACACACAGCTGCTAGACCAGCGCTGGTGCTGTGGGTGGTGGGTCTGCCCACTCGTCAGTGCCTCGTTCCACCTCTCCCAAACAACTCCTAACAGGTCAAGCAGACAGCTGTGCTCTGAGGGAGGCATTCAAATGTTTGCCATAAAATAACGAAGAGCTACTCATTCTGCTCAGGAAATCTACACAACGCGGCAGAGCACAAGGTCCATACAGCAGCACAGAACGCATGAGATCCTGCACCTTGTTTGAAACCACACTTCCACAATGACTACAAATGACCTCTCATTAAGGGTGTAAACACATCATTTCTGCTCCAGTCCATTCTACTAATGGAAACCCTTGAGCCTAACAGGGAATAAAACTGCAGTGGCAACAGGAAGGTCGTCTTCTACACAAATAAAAGCCTCTCTGCTTTAAAGGTAAAGAAGGACAAAATAAAAGAAGGAAAGATTTCAAGACTTTGGAGACCATAATAGCTTTCAACAACATAAGGTTTCAAAGAAAATTTCAAAGGCTGTTCAGCATCACTTAAAGATGATTTTTAACAAAACATAGCAACAAAATAAGAAAGAAAAAGTCCAAACTAAGCAGTAGCATTACGCTGCTCCTCAGCAGCATTAATATGAGATGGTCACAACAAAGAAATACTAGTGTGTTGGTGCTGGAATAAGTGCATTAGCGGATATGCCTCTGGTCAGACCACACTGATCCCATCATGCAGAGGTTTTAAGTCTTCCTTAGGCTCCTTCTTAAAATGTGCTTCACTGACTCTTTTGCCAAACAGCATAAATACATGAGTCCCTGTTTTTCTATGATGTGGTCACAATCTTAGATCATGTTTATACTTTGACACCAAAGTGCAGGACTCTACTGCATTTTGGATGCTTGGGTTCAGTCATCTCCAAGAGTGACTTCAGCGCACAGATGTCATACAGGGGTACCTGTAGATATTTCCCCCTGCAGATACAGAAGATTGATGATGAAGAACAATGTTACAGCACAGCACTGCTCTTTGATAGGAACACAGAGAAGGAAGCAACTCTTCTGCAAAACCTGGGACCATTGTAGGATGAGATTTATTTCCCTGAAGTTTTCTCCACTGTCTTATACTGCACTATATTTCCCTTGCATTACCTTTTACACAACCTGAAGAAAAAACCTGAAACTAAATTTTAGTGTCTGAAACTTGGAATACTACAGCTTTTGCTCCTTGTAAAAGGCCACTGGAACGTTTCGATATTATTTATTAAAAGAGCATAATGTCCTAACTGTAGTCCAAAGAAAGCAGAAGTCTGAGTCAGGAATTGTGTATCATCTCATACTTTTGAAATCAGCCTTGCTGGTATTGATTCTGTTCCTCCATCAGTCCTCTACATATGCTTCAGCTTTCATCACATGCCCACACTGTAATCCCATTCTACTTCAGCATTTCTTTTCCCTCCTAAATAAATTCAGTCTTAAACATAAGTTAATTTTTTTTATTTGAAAGAACTGATGTGGAAAAAATCATTTAGTTTCCATATTTTTTTCTTTCAGTCTTCTCTGTCCCCTACAACAACTTGTGCCACTTATCTCACTGAAAGATGTCTGTCTTACCTTCTTATATACTTATCCAATTTATTTATTTTCCATCTTTACTTTTTTTTCCCCCACTCATTCCTACTCTCATTTGGTCACATTCTCAGCCATCCTCTATCACTTATGCTTTCTTCTTTATATGCCCTTCTGCTAAACTCAATTATTATTTGCTTGTCATTGTTAATAACAATATTGACTTTTTTATATATCTACTGCTGCGTGGCAAGCACAGTCCTTAGCAATGCATTCATTTATCTCCAGGTACCTAATATTTCTATTCTGCCTCCTTTCTTCTACTTGTTGTAAAATACAAGTATTCATCACTGTTATTTATTTCTTTAATTAGAGCAAACTACTGAAAATGTAAATATATAAAGTAGCACGGCAGCTATTAAAAAAGCAGTGTCAGCACACTCAAAGTACTCTTATACTACAGCAGAACTCTACTAGATGGAGATAGGAAGCAATAAAGCATTCATTTTGCAGCTGCAAAGAAAGGTACTATGCTCATATTTAACAATGTGAAGGATGACCAACATAACACGATCTCTCCATAAAATACATTACTTAGATGCAATGAACAAATCATAAAACTTTGCGGGCAAAATCATTAGCTCAGTGACAACAGAGATGGCAACAACAACAACAAAACCAAAAAAGTAGAAAGAAATTTAACTCAAAATCTAAGTTTCTGTTTTAAGATACTTTTGACAAAAAAGTGTTGCCCTTGTACCCCATTACAACTTTCATTCTTTTCACTTTTTGCTCCCACAAGGGAACAAGTTGATTTATGTCTTATAGAAAAAGAAAATCCTCATTACTGGCATGTGCAATAAATCCAGTTGAGATTAATAGCTATCACGATGACAAATTGGACATTGTTTGCAGGAAGACTTGATGGTAAAAAGGAAAGTTGTAAGACTATCATCACTCATCTGTTGACCTAGAGATGTTTCTTCCCCATTGCAGGTGATATGATAGCAAGCTATGTTTATGCAATGACAAATTCTCTTAAAACAAGCAACTCTGACGACTTGATTCTGAAATCTCATTCAAAATATGTGAGCAGATAGTTATCATTTAGGTACAATGTAGAACAATGAGGGGCTTGTTGGGGATGTTGAGGCTGAAGGCAGCCTTGGCTGCAGTTGAATGAGACAGTGGAATTCAGGACCCAGAGAGGAGAGACAAGGGAAAAAACCAAGATCACAACCCTGGACTTCAGGAGAGAAGATTTTTGCCTCTGCAAAGATCTCCTTGAAAAAGTCCCATGGAATAAGGTCCCAGAGAGAAAGAGGCCCAAGAAAGCTGGTTAATATTCAAGGATCATCTCTTCCAAGCTTAAGAGCAGTCCATCCCAGTGAGTAGGAAGTCAGGCAAAGCCCCCAGGAGGTCTGCATGGATGAACAAGGAGCTCCTGGCAAAACTCAAACACAAAAGGTAGAAAAGGAAGCATGCGGAAGGCGGAAGCATGGACATGTAACAAGAGAGAAATACAGAGACATTACCTAAGCATGCAGGGATGAGGTTGAGAGAGCCAAAGCTCAAATGGAATTGAATCTGGCCAGGGATGTCAAAGGCAACCAGAAGGGCTTCTGCAAGTAGACAGGTGACAAAGGAAGGATAGGGCCCACTGCTGAATGAGGCAGGGGGCCTGGTGACACACAACATGGAAATACTGAGGTATCGAATGCCTTCTTAATGCAGTCTTGAGTAGCAAGACTAGCCTTCAGGAAATCAGGCCTCAGAGAACAGCAAGAAAGTCTGGAGCAAGACAGACATACACTTGGTGAAAGAGGATCTGGTCAGGGAATACTTAAGTAAACTGGGCATAGAGAAGTCCATGGGCCCTGATGTGATTCAGCCATGAGTGCTGAAGGAGCTGGTTGATGCCATTGCAAGGCCTCTCTCAATGATCTTTGAATGATCACGGCAATTGGCAGAAGTGCCCAAAGACTGAAGGAAAGCAAATGTCATTCGTATCTTCAAAAAGGGCAAGGAGGAGCACCTGGGGAACTCCTGGTTCAGCTTCACCTTGATCTCCAGAAAGGTGATAATGCTGCTAATCCTGGAAACCATTTCCATGCATTTGAAGGACAAGAAAGTAACCAGGAGCAGTCAGCACGGATTCACCAAAGGGAAGTCATACTTTACCAACTTGAGAAACTTCTACACTGAATGACTTCTGTGCTGGTAGATGAGGGGAGATCTGTGGACATTGTCTACCTGGACTTCAGGAAGGCTTTCGATGCTGTCTCCCACAAGATCGTTACAGAAAAGCTGTTAAGTATGGCTTGGATGAGCAGACAGTAAGGTGCATTGAAAACTGGCTGAACAGCCTGATCCAGAGGATGGTGATGAGTGGCACGAAGTCTGGTTGGAGGCCAGTAACTAGTGGGTACCCCAGGGGGTACTGGGTCGAGTCCTGTTTGACATCTTCACTAATAATCTGGATGATGGGGCAGAGTGCACCCACAGCAAGTTTGCTGATGACACCAAACTGGGAAGAGGGGCTGATATACCAGAGGGTGGTGCTGCCATCCAGAGGGACCTGGATAGGCTGGAGACATGGGCTGACAGGAACCGCAGGCAGTTCAACAAGGGGAACTGCAAAGTCCTGCACCTGGGGAGGAACAGCCCCAGGCACCAGCACAGGCTGGGGGCCGCCCAGCTGCAAAGCAGCTTGGCAGAAAGGGACCTGGGGGTCCTGGTGGGCACCAAGTTGAGCTGACAATGTGCCATTGCAGCAAAGGTGGCCAACGGTATCCTGGGCTGCATTAAACAAAGTACTGCCAACAGGTCAGGGGAGGTGATCCTTTCCCTCTACTCAGCACTGATGTCACTGCACCTGGAGTACTGCCAACAGTGCTGGGCTTCCCAGTACATGACAGACATGGATATACTGGAGAGAGTCCAGCAAAGGTCACCAACATGGTAAAGGGACTGGAGCATGTCTCACGTGAGAAAAGGCTGAGAGAGCTGGGACTGTTCAGCCCGAACAAGAGAAGGATCTGAGGGGGATCCCATCAATGTATGGAAATCCCTGCAGGGAGGGTGCAAAGAGGACGTAGCCAGGCTCTTTTCAGTGCTGACTGGAGACAGGACCAGAGGCAATGGGCACAGACTGAAACACAGGAGGTTCCCTCTGAACATCAAGAAATGCTTTTTTCCCTGTGAGGTTGGCTGAGCACTGGCACAGGTTGCCCAGGGAGGTGGCAGAGTCTCCATCCTTGGAGGTAATTCAGCAGCCATCTGGGAATGGCCCTGGGCAACTGGCTCTTGAACAGGGGGTTGGACCAGATGACCTCTAAAGGTCCCTACCAACCTCAACCATTCAGTGATTCTGTGATTCTAATCTGATAGATCTTCTAAATATAGTCAAGTAGAAGACTATGCTCCAGTACACGTTGTCAACTAGTTTAATATATTTTTATCCACACAATACATTTTGACCACAGCATTTAAAAAAGCAAATACATTCCTTCTGTGACTGAAATATGCTCATCATAGGTTCTTCCTCAATTTATATGAGCATTCACATGATGGAGTGAAACTTCAAAGACTGATTGAGATCACGTAAAGAGTTTCTCCCTAACCTTTTTCCAGTGTTTTACCTTCACAAGTTCTCACTTGCATTTCTGTTTTTCTCTGATGATTTGTTTTCATCTGATAAATCATCCACAGTGATATCTTCTAATGTGAACAATATATTCTACTCTTCCATGACCAGAAGCAGACTCTTTTGGGTAATGGGAGTATTCAGTCACTTTATTCCAATGAAACAATACAACTCTGTGTTTACTTGTGCCAGGGGTCTGATTATTGTACTGGGAAATAAATTAGTATTAATCTATGCAACAGGTAAAACTTGAGTAACTGCAGTTGCAACCCTCATTATATTGTCCCATTTAACCCTTTTAGGGCTGGCTCACCACTGCTAATGGGAAAGTTATTCTGTGCCTATGCCCTTTCAGCTTATTATATTCCTGCT